ACATTTTGAGACTTTGGGGGGCATAAATACTTTGTTTGAGTCATTGTAGAATAATATATGTCATGTATTTATTAAATTATTTCATAAGAAAATAATGATTTTGGACACAAAAAATGCATGTATAGTACATTTATTAAAGGCTTTTGTCTTTTTGTCCTAGTTCATCTTCCTCCAGTTAGGCATTATGGAATATTTTAAAGGAAATATTCTATCCATCCATGGTTTGTTATTGTCCAGTTTCATTTTTAGTGTTTGGCCTTTGCTAATAACTCAGACTACTTGATTAATTGTCCGTTAAAAACTCTGATTAGTATAATTTGTCAACATAATCAGCAGATTATTTGATTACTAAAATAATCTATAGTGACAACTCTAGATACAAAACTTGATTGTCTTTCAAATTTATATCTCTCCTTCAAATTACAATGTTGTTGCTGAAATGAGTTTTCATAAGCTTTATATGGTGTTGTAGAGGATGTGAGTATCGTAACTAAGCTCGGTGAAACTATGATGAGTCAGATTACAGGTGTGACACGTGATCTGACATTCTGGTGTTACGTCATAGCCCTGACCTAGTTTCTGTTTATCACAATCATTTCTCTTAATGTCCCAGGAATGCTACATTAAGCAACTCTCGGTGTGCTAGCTCAGAATGACAAACAGACCATTCTCATTTTTGTTTCTACTAGTTTCACTCCTGAAATGTCCCCCACCCCCAATATACATCATCCCTACCCAGACAATATGACTCAAAATAAAATTAAGGAAGGTAGGAAAGGGGGATACTAAGTAATACCAAGGCTAATATCCTGATACCAAAACCAATACTCCTCTTGTGCACATATAAAGGGGAATTTATTATCACATCTACAGTGAAAACCAGTAAATGTGGACATGAAAAATTGACTTATTAAATTGAATAAATTAACTGCCATATGAAATGACTGTAGAGAGAGGGTGGAAGGAAAAGTAGTTCCTATCTTACACATTTATGTGCTACATTTATATTTCCACTTTTTCAGCATTAAACATTTATGGCATCTGGCAGACGTTCTTATCCATAGTGACATATCCAGTTTCATAAAATTCACCCATTACTATGTAGTTTGTCAAAAGCAATCAAAAACCATAAATTGCTATTACAATGAGCAAATTAACTAAATTATTACTAACAATATGCTTAATAATCGTACCATTCAATGATGGAACATGGAAGAGAGCAGCCAGCCTTAGGCTATTAAAGAAGCAGCTAGATCAACAACAATGTAAAGAGTAAAAGCAAAACTCTAATTGAAATTTGGAAAAGTTCAAATTTTTCTTGACAAATTTAGCATTTAAACGGTTCTGGTGTGGCATTTAGTATGGGGAACATTCTGTTCACTCATCTAATAAAGCTTTTGATAAAACAGTCTGGACTAAAACTCAAATTCAGCACTTCAAAAGACTTTAATTATCACGTCAGTGGCACAGATACACCTGTGACAAAAATTTACTAAACACCCTCAGGGTGAAGCGAAGTGCATACTGCACACCAGAATGAGTAGAACACCAGTTAAGTGTTAAATCAGGTCAACAGGTTTGATATAGTACAGTAGCATAAGGTGTTATTACTGCAAAATCAAACTAGGTCACTAGCTAGTAATTATATGCACCAGTACTCAAACACTCGGTTAACTGTTTGAGGTGCCAGTATTCAAATACACAAGTCACTATTCGAGTACTCTTTCTGTTTCATCACATGAAGACAAAGAAAATATAGAGGCTATTAATTCAATGAAATGGCACTTTTATGTTTTAACACAAGTGTAAAATGTTAAGGTTTTGCTCCTGTTTGTGAGGAAGTGCGTATGTTACACCGGCATACGCACTTAACAAGGCTAACTACTCTAGCTTATGTGAGCTAGGTCCAGATACAGTGGAAACAGCCTATATTCATGGCTGCCAACTTTTACATTATGGGAGGCGAGTTGGTCCTTAACATTTTATGATATTTTATTCCTTTTAAAAAACAATAATAAAGATATTTTTAAATGTCTGTATACAGCAGCACTGTAATTCTATTTTAAATATAATTTTTTTTTATGCTTTGCCATGCTCCAATCTGTCTGGTTTCCACACTAACACTACATATGTCAACAAAACAGAGAACTAATATTCTTCATTATATATATATATATATAAATGTATACTTATATATATGAACGTCAATTTTGGGGCAGTTAACATAACCACCCTACTGCATTCAATACAATTACAAAGTGGCAGGTTAATAAAAGGTACTGTCCAAAATGATTCTATTTCAAGAATATTTCAGAATATCTCAGAAATTGGGATAGGATTATATAACGAAGGGACCGCAGCGATTGTTTTTCCTCTTGTTTTATGTTAAACGTCTTTCATTTAGTAGCCTATAAAGGGGATCTTAACTTGATGTAAATAAATTAATACAACTACTACAATGATTGTTTATGCTGAATAAGCATTGTAGGTAAGTTACAGCATTCCTTAAGCCATATAGATATTCAGAACAGCACCTTCTTACACAAAGCTGAATCTTATTCACCAGCTTCTTGTATGAATTTTCCCATTCCACCTTAAATGGTGCAGCCTCAGGCAGCAGAATGTAACTGCTGCACCATTTAAGGTGGAACCGAAAAATTCAAACAAGAATTTGCACGATTATATTTTTTAACACAAGTTCCAATGTTTTGTGTTTTGGTCAACTAGCGACCCAGTGTCTCGTAGTGCAGTTTATTTCCTACTGCAGTGTTTAAGCGACGCTTAGCAAACACCTCAGTTCATTGTTATATTCTATTCTAGTAAATGGATACCAGTTCTGCCCTACTGATCTACAATATACACGAACCGGCAGTGACAGACTAGCTAGCATGATCTCCTTCACCTTAAGCAAAGTCCTTATAGGAAAGTCTGTTTACTCTGTGGCCATTTTGCAACGCTGCCTGGCAGTTATTTTCAGCCATACAAGACCATACTCCTACCTCTCTGATTGGGGAGACACCAAAATACTTGAAAATATAAGTCAAATATAAGAATATCCTTTCATTAACACTTGCAGATACTCGAATATCAAAATTAGTCGAAATGCACATCCCTAGTGAATCACTACTCAATTCGTTCATTTTCATTGGTGTGAAATTGAAATGAACATTTCCTATGACAGTTGGCATGCCACTTCATACAATATGCGCAGTATTTTATAGTACAGTACTGTGCAAAAGTCAAAGTTGACCCTTCATTTATTTAATGTTCAGTCAAAACAGCCATTACAAGTATTACACAAGTATCACACAAGTTCATTTTTCAGGAGATATTTCTGAAGAGGTTTGATAAAAGTTAATCCACTTGCATAAGGAAATGTAACATGAAGGCAACTAAGTGAAAAGGCAGGAGTCTCCAAAAAAGTTTTAAAAGAATAGAGGACACAAAACAACCATGCAAGACGGGTAGACTACTAAAATTCTCACCCTCAGATAAACACTACTTAAAGTTTGCTTGAGAGATCAAGCTTCAATCTTGCTTCAGATCTGAAAAAAAGATGTTTCTGCCCATTTTTTCACTGTAAGAAGACAACTTGTTACAGGTCCAAAAGGTTGTGCAGCTGTCAAGAAGCTGTTACTGAGAAAATGAAATAAACAAAAAAAAAGACAATTTTTTTAATCAAATCAAACAGAGAAGCTGCTGATGTTCTCAGAACAATAGACTGCCTACGCCAGAGGCAGACCTCAACATCACTCAATGCAAAAACATGCTTAAGTCATACCTGTTTATAAATATGCACTATGCAGGCATGTACACTTTTAATTCTTTGTGTATGTCAATCATCATCACATCCTTAGGGTAAGACCATGATGCAAACATAATGCACTGGGAAGAGCAACTTGAGCTCACAATTCCATTGATTATCAATAGGAGAGTCTATCTTGTAGGCCTGTAATGCTGCTGATTTAACCCAGAGGAGAGGTGAACACCTATTAACCTATTTAATAGCAGCTTTGCTCTCTTCTAAGAAGACTAAAGAATAAAGCCAATTCACTACTATTTCCTCACAGAGTAAATTTCATAATGTGGGTGTGTTCACTCAGTAGCATTCTTGACCATGTATCATGACTGTCCTCAACGCAGACAATATCAAACTACTTAAATATACATATTTACAAAATCAAAAACCATCATATTTCTGCACCTCTATTTTATGTGAGAGACTAATCGTAAACATGTTATGAATATGAAAGGTGGCATTTGATATTGAATCCAATGTTTTCATTTACAGCTTTAGTTCAGTGGAAAGACTATGAGCCACTGTAACCTTTCAAAACTGAACTTTGAGCAAAGAGCTGCACGTTGATTTAGCAGTCCTCTTTAAGCAAATTCGTTTTCACTTTATGAACATTTTCCAAAGCATACACACACACACACACACACACACACACACACATATATACACACACACAAAAAAAGGAGACTGAGAATAGCACTTAACTAAAACACTGTACTTTTGTACAAGCTTTAGGCTCAACTGCTCTGATCAGGCCGTTCAGCATTGTTTATAGCTCACAGCAATGTGAACTCAATATTATTGCCGAAATGGAAACAGGGTGTAACCCCTGTTGCTTCTTGAGCTTCATTAAGATCATTGTAAACACTTTTAACCTGAACAAGACAAGAGTCAGCCATATGTTTTTTGTGAATTTTTCACCACCTGATTGTATAATTGTGTTTGTTCTCCAGGGTAAGTTATTCAGCTAAGTTACCTCTGACTTGTTTCTGTCAACCTGATTTTAAATAATGTTAAATGTTTAGCAGCCTGACCAAAATTAATCTGTACTCCCATCTCCCATACAAACAACCAGCACAACAACTGGTGTAAGGGCTGTTGAAAGGAAAGGTCGCAGTGACCTAGAAGAAGAAGAAAAAAAAACGACAATGCAATTTTATACACTTAAGGAAAAACAAAGGCAACATGCAAAAGTGAGGCCTACCGAAGACTTTGGAGTGTAACGCATTCCTGCATCCATTGGATCCATCATTTTGAGAAAAACTGGAAATAAACAGAATTTATTTCCACTGTCCTCCGTGGCACCCGACGCTTCAAGTATCGCCTTTGTTGTTTAGTTCCGGATTGAGCAAAACCCGTCAGTAAGTCTTGGTATTTTACTGTCGACAACAAGTGAACGCAACACGCCCCCAAGCAACAAACCTGTAACCAATTTGTTAAAAATAATCCAGCTTTTAAAAATGGCTAACAAAATGGAAATAATACCTATACTAAACGTATTAAAACAGAAGCCAGCTCTCTTGCTGCTGTTCAAAACGAACACTATTAAATTAACCAGTTTTCACAAACACCCGGAACATGTCGCCTCGCCTACCTATGTGACCGAAAAATAGAAAAAAATCCGGAATCAGGTTACAGTGGGCGTGTTCTGTTTGAGCGAAAGTTACCTGTTGCGCTCACGCAGATTTTTTTTAATACCCGTATTCCGAAAAACCCGCCTTTCTGTGCTGCGAGTGGCTAGTAGTTCATACTCACACGCAGCCTGCCTAATAATGTGTTTTGAATGCCGACCTACTAGCGAATCGCAGCGCAGGAGGCGGGGCTTGTCAGAAAACGAGTGGAGACAAAATAACGCATGCGTTTTGTGATGTACGCGAGGAAGGGAAATACAGGTAGATCCTTAAAATAGAGCAACGTAGCAAAATAGCGCCTAGATTTGTTAGCTCAGTGTGCTACCATAGGCGCTACATGTGAGATTGTGCCTTTATATGATTATTCCACTTACAAACAGCACAGTCATATGGTTACATTGAATGTGTCATCATCAGTGTATATGCTTTGAGTATCGACGGAACTCAGGGAACTTCTTCGCCGTGACTCACAGCCCTTTGCTATGGTTGTTAGAAGTTGGGCGCATAAACAAACCTGACATACTGGTTTCTGTTGCGTCAAAACGGCACCTCCTCGAGTTACATAGGCCTAGGTTTAGTTGAAACTACAGCTTACATAGTGAACCTGCAGCGAACTTAAACAGCTTGAAATAAAAGATGGTTGTCTTTCGTTTAGACAACTGAACCTCAACAGTAGCCTAAATCCTCTGATTATTTCAAGGACCTTATTATAGTGAAATACTATTTACAATATAGGCCAGAGGCGATGTCAGATGTTTATCCAAGATAGATAGATCCAGTTATGTGCCATTTTCCTTGTCATACTGAATGTAGTTGGTGGACACGATTTTTTTCATTGTACTACACCCTGTAATAAAACAACAAATACAGTTTTATAACCTTTTTTGCTCTTTACCAAAAAGGGGAAAATAGTCAACAGAAAATACATTAAAGACCCTATAGAATTAATCCTAACCGAAAGAAAAAAAAAATAAAAGGCATTACAACAAACATATCGAAAGGACTCAAGGCAAGGCAAAAATAGATAAATAAATAAATGAAAAGAAAAGGATCAAGAGTCAAACACTGGAGCACAGTGAGAATAGTTGCTACTTTGACATGAATTAATACAGTTGTTTTGTCCTTTTGTTGGATTTCCTCATAAATGTAACACTTTGAAAGAATTAAGTCACAAATAAACAAAATAAACAAATAAACAATGTCAGCATTTTCTTATTTACATATATGAATATGATAGTTACTCAAAAGAATAACAACATTTATTAAATCAAATGTGTATGTATATGTATATGTGTGTATTTTTTTGCGTTCATGAAAAAAATAATATGACATTCAAAAAGAAAAAAACATTTTATTTAAAGACAAACATCGGTGTACATCTATCCAAAACTGACTGGTATACATTGAAAAAAACAAGTGAACAGTTGTCTATATAGCAGAAGAACAAAAACCACAAAGCTCAGTCTCTAATTTAAATCTCTTGCTAACTCGACTGATGTTAAGCATTATTTTTTAATGTATCTCTTTAACCTTAGGAGCAACCAGAAAGTAGGCCAGTCAGTGATCATCACAAAAAATAATACTTTCAATCAAGTCTGAACTAGGCAAATAGGCAATGAAAAAATAGCCATAGATAAAGAATTTGGAAGATATGTTAGAAATCTTTAGATGAGACTTAGAAAAGCTCGGGGAATGGTTTTACTGTTTTATCCTATTCCAGCAGTCATTAAGTGGAAGGCGGGAAACACCCTGGACAGGTCCTAATAATTTTGTTATGGCTATTATCATTATATGAAATAATTACAAAAGGATGTGGTTATCAAAATGTACTGACCAGTCACTTCAATAATTACACCTCCTTATATCTACACTCATTGTCCATTTTATCAGCTCCACTTACCATGCAGGTGCACCATGTTTTCCTACAGTACAAAAACAATAGTCCATCTGTTTCTCTGCATGCTTTCTTAATCGTTTTTTACCCTGTTTTTTAATGTTCAGGTGTCCCACAGGACAATTGCGGAGCAGATACTACTTGATGGATCATTCTCGGCACTGACGTGGTGGTGGCGGGTTAGAGCGTATTGTGCTGGCACGAGTGGATCAGACACAGCAGTGCTGCTGAAGGTTATAAACGCCTCAGTGTCACTGCTGGACTGAAAATAGTTTACTAACCAAAATTATCCAGCCAAAACAGTGAGTAGACACAGTTTTGAAAAACTCCAGCAGCACCACTGTGTGTAAACCACTCATTCCAACACAACACACACTAACCACCACCACCACAGAACCTCAAAGTGCAAGTAGAGCTGATAAAATGGACAGAGTGTAGATACACTGATGTTAATGCAGTATCTGGTTGGTATATGTGCAGGGCCCTTGATAATGCTTACAGATTCCATATAAATTGATTTCTTTCTTTCTTTCTTTCTTTCTTTTGTTCAGATGAAGTAGGATTCTACACAAACAATGTGTAGAAATTGCAAAAACAGGTTATGTAACAACGTAACAACTACCACAAGTTATATAAAATAAAACCAGTGCACACAAAATAAATACGTCAGCTTTCTTGCATTTTACTTTTCATTGTCTTAAGTGATTTATAGTAATTGGAAAAAAGGTATAATTTAAATATATAGCACATATAGCCTATGGTTTTGTATACTTGGACTTCCCTGGGTGGAGTAAATAACTGAGACAAGATATTCTCATTTTCATTAATATGCCAAATATAATATGATTCTCGCTGATTCGAGTTACTTCAGTGAAGAAACTTTTTTTTTTATTTAAAGAATATACAAAATATACAACCAACGTCAGACCAATACATTATCCCACCCCATATAAGAATATGTGTACAGTACTCTCAGCAATATCATCATACCATCCTAGCACATCACGACGTCAGAGAGTAAGGATGCAACCCAACAACCTGCATAAAAAAATCTGTCTAAAGGAGGATGCATACATACACATATACATATACACTGTCTCTCTCTCTCTCTCTCTCTCTCTCTCTCTCTCTCTCTCTCACACACACACACACACACACACACACACACACACACACACATACATACAAGAGGAAAGCCAGTTAATCAGGTGTCTCTCCATAAAGCTGGTCATAGTAATTCAAAAATCTATTACTTTTCTTAGTTTCTACAAGATGTTAGAACCGGAGTAGTGATTTAAATTCCACTAAAAAGAGGGACAGGGTTGGCTGAGAATTTGAAAACTTCTGTTCATGAATTTTGCATGTAGAATGAAAAAAATAACAATATACTCAAGAGGCTTGTTAGCAAAGTTATTGTAGTAACAAATAATATCTTTGAGATTAAAGGAATAAGTAATTTTGACAGGGTTAAAAATGAGCATGTAAGTTGGACCAGAAGTCATTCGTTCTCTCACACTGAAAAAATAGGTGAGTCAAAGTTTCATCATCATATCCACAGAAGGAGCAAAAGCTATTAATGTCAACAAATTTGGAAATAACAGAATTCACAGGGTATGTCTTATGTAAAATTTTAAAATGAACTTCTTTGATCTTATTGGACATACAGTATTTATGAGGGAAAAGCCATGCCCCTTTTCAATTGATATCCTCAATAAAGGACATCCAATAGAACTTACCTCTAGGGGATATTTTGTTTCTTTGTTGAAGAATATATTCAGTGAAGAAACTGATTTTTAGGATCAGACGTGTTTTCCGTCATGGCTTCATTTCCGGTAGTGCCCGGTGCCGCCGCGTGGGGGCGAGCGCTCCTTTGAGCTGAGCCGAGGCTCGCGCTGCATTCCACGAGCAGTGACCGGCGGCGCGCGGTGACGTTCGGGTGGAAAAACAAGCAGCGGTGCACTCGCCGTTCTCAGAGCAGAGAGCGACAGTTTACCGGAGGGCCATATCCAAAAGACACACAGTTTTATCACCTTTATAGATTTCTTCCGAATCCAGTCAGGGACCATTTCAGCGAAGCAGAAGCGGACAAGTCCTTGAAGAGATGGGTTCAGCCCCGGCGGTGTCTGTCCTGATTTTGGGCATCGTTATGCCTAGCCTGGCCGGATATATCGAGGTAGGCTATGGCACAGTTTTATTTTAACCCTGCGTAATGTGGTTGGTTTTGTTATATTGGCTCTTTGTTACATACCCTTGCCGTAGAGAATGTGTACTTTATTGTTTAGGTTCAGTTCGATCGATTCTTTTATTAACGGTGTGTGCCTAAGCGGATTAATTTCCTCATGTAACGTTATGCGTAGTTTGTATTATGGACAGTCGGATAATCGGACTGCTACATTATGCTTCAGATACTGAGACTGACTATGCGCTTAACGTTGACTAATGATTCAAGGGCAATTTGGTGCGCTGCTTTTAATTTTACTGTCTATTTTTTTAATATTTATTTTTAGCCCTGCCAGAATGTTTTTAATCTATGAAAAAAACGACAAATATATGCATTTTTGCAAGGGACAAAACAGAGTGACATTATATCAATTGCTTTTTCTCGATGAAAGGTTGCTGATCTGTGTGGATTAAATGGCTGTACGATCGTCTTATCTCGCGTGCACTCTAGTGATAATGGTAGACTCCATTACAGCCTAAGTTACAGAATTTACGAGCCATTGTATCGGTGAACCTGGTAAAGCTATTGAAATGACTCGACAGCCTGTGTGTTGAGCCAGTGCTGAACTAGTAACTGACCCAGTCTGAAATTGTGTGAGGGTCGCCCATTCAGTTGGCGATGTTGAAGAACTGACGTCTCCAGTCTGGCTGCCTTAGTCGAAATCATAGCCAGCATTCACAACAAAGGAAGACACCCAGTTAAATCGGTATGCTTCAATGCAGAAACACTGGTGATGTTTTCATTTGATCAGTCTCTGTGTTGCCTTGTCTGCGGTAGCTGCTTTTGTATGCTCATGCTATCACACTTAGTCAAACCGTCCCATTTGATCACATAATACACTGTTCCAGAGAGATGCCAGCTCTGCCCTGACGCTCGGCACGCCTAGTTATT